CTGCTTGGCCTCCCGAGGTAAAGAGTTTTGAGGGCTCCAAGAATGACAGGGGGATTGGGTTTAGGGTTTAGGGCCAACCCCTACAATAAGGACCCCTAAAACTATTATATGGCTATGATTGGGTCCCACTTGTAATCTCAAGGGTAGTAACAAAAACCCTGTTGTTATACAAGGTTAGCGGTAGCTCACATTGCTTCAAAAGCCTCCATAGCCAAGCGGTGCTCCTCTTCCTTCATCTTGAGCTGAGATGCCGCGAAGCCCTCGAGTCAAAAGGTACACTTGTGAAGGGTTAGGGAGACTTCGTAAGTAGGTGAACGATGGAAATAGTGGAGGTTTTGCGTGGGATTAGGCGTGTACTTTCAAAGTTCCCCTGACTTTCCCATTAGGGTTTACCTCCAAACCTTTCATCGAGGTGTCACCGATGCCTCATCAGCGCGGCCAGACTGGAGCATCTGAACCGCCTGCAGAGCCAAATGTACTGTACTGCACTATACTATACTGTGATATACTATGTTATACCGAGCTGTACCATGCCATACTATGCTATACTGTGTCAGACTGCGCTAGACTATGCTAGACTATGCTAAGCTCTGCTAGACTATGCTCTAGGTTGTACTTTATTATACTTTGCTATGTGGGTACCGTTCTGGGGTCCACTCATTGAACAACTGCTTTACCATGTTACAGTAGCGGTAATTTTGACCCTGGCTCATTTGAATGTAAAGCCTCCTCGTAAAAGCAGGATACTGAACCACACGACTGAGACTTTCAGATGTGCCATCAGCACAGGCCCGCCTGGCGTAGCCGAAAGTTCTCGGCCTTCACTCGCAGAGGAGCTCAAGTTCGGAAGTTGAATAAATACAGGAAAAGCCTAGAGACTAGGATGTGTATCAAGACAGTTTGAAAAGAGGACCGAAACCTAGGCACTCTATGGTCCTGAGCATTGCTTCTCAATGCCGAACACTCTAGGATTGCTCGACGCTATCTCTCCCAACAAAGTATCTCTTCGAGTCCTTATCAGAATTCCAACCCAAGCCACTCTGGCTCACAAAAGATCTTAAAGGCAGCATCACAACACGCTGATGTGCTTCCGGTATGCTTTTTCTTTGCTGGCCTTCCTTTTGGCACTTGGATGGCACGGTATCGTGGCAGTACTGCGGCTGAGCATAACAACAAATCACCATGATACCGTTACTTGTTGCAAGGAACGTCTCCTCGCGTGCGTACAAACTTCGGGCTTAAACACAAAGCACAAACCTGGAAAGTTGCATTTATCCCGGCATCCCAAAGACTTCCCAAGCCGAACATAAGCATCACGGCCGAGGCCTCCATCTGCCTCACGGCTGCATCATGTTGGTCCTGCAGATTCAAAGCCCAAACTCAACCGTTCTCAGACAACAGCTAAGCCCTAACCCCTGAATCCTAAACCCTAAACCTGGGATAATGGAAAAGAAAATGGAAACTCGGAAGGCCATTTAAATTTAAAGAGTTTCGAGGTGAGCTCAAAATCTGTGGATTTTCCCAAAATTTGGGGTACCTTTAAAGGGGTTTATAGGGGATATATACGGTTATATAGGGACACATAGCGCTTTAGGGTTTCCCAAAATTAGGGTTACCTTTTGGGGATTCCCATAATAAGGATCATAGTATTTGGGGGTCTATATTGGGGTCCCCGAACCATATAAAGCAGCAATCGAAGGTAGACAAATGTGGAAGTCTTGCACTACACCTGGAACAAAAGGGGGGATTCAAGCCTCATGAGCAATAGCCGGTCCCGCTGAGTACTGAGCAGGTTCTCATACTCGAGGGTTGCACCTGGTAGCCAGCGACATGTGTGTGTGTGACTTACGGGGCATTGACATCCACAAATAAGGTGCAAGTGCAGCAGAAGCTTAGTGAGCAGCACTAGAGGACACATTCACAAACAGGGTTGCCCGCAAAAGCTCAAGGATGCACCTGCAACTTGCTACAAAGTGTTGTGGGCCCAACTTTGAATCACCCGACAATAAGTGGATACTTATGAAAGATCCAAAAATACGGCATCTCTCTCTAAATCTGGCTTTCAAGAAAGCCGCGCAAGGTTTCTAGAGATATGCAGAAATCTGCATCAAGTCAGGAGTCGCCCTTTTTGAGCAGATCTTAGGTGTTTCGCACACACAGCAAACACTCGGGAACAAGCCCCAAGGGCGGGATCTGCTGCTGGCTGATTTGCCTGAGGCCGCTGCTCCACAACTGCGCATTGGCATAGTCGACAGGAACCACCTGCTGCACTAAACTGGAACAACCTTGATGTTAGATAGAACTGCTGGCTTTATGGGGTGTAGTTTTGGGTTGAGTCAAGGCTTCGGGCTTGAAATAAGAGCATCCTTCATGCCCTTGTGAGCAGCGAGATCTAAGCCACCTCCCTTTCCAACCATGTGAGCCATTGTCTAAACTCCTAGTATCCCCCTTAATAGCCCCTATAGTAGTCCCCTATATATTCCCCTATATAACCCCCCTTTAAGGAGTTTAGACTATAGTTCATGTGTTCCTGATACACACCACGAACAAGCCAAACCGATACCAGCCACCTCTACGGTTTGAGGGCCCCACTGCGTTGACTTGAGTATGACCCACAAGACAAAATACCCCTGAACACAAAAAGTCCATGAGGCCCTAGACTACAAAACCTAACCTCAAACCCAATTCGAGGAGCTCTTGTCGCTTCAAAGCCTCCACCCTGCAAAAGCTAAACCTTTGAAATCTGAAAACCCTTTTCCATGGGGGACTTCTGATCTGAACTTGTGCTGTTCAAACCTTGGGGAGCCCTTTGTTGGTTTCTTGTATAGTCCACCTAATGCAATCCCTAAGCTTATCACCAAGGCCCCAAAACTTCGATCCTGAGCCTTGATTTCAAAACCTGACCCTTCACACCCAAGGGGTTAGACTGGGATAATGGAAAACAGAATTGTAACTACTCTACTGGTGTATATATTGGGATTATTCTACCTTAAACCCTGAACTCTAAGGCATAAACCCTAAGCCTTACCACATTTCTTATAGCCCATGGCTGCAGCGAGGCCGCCGACTCTGCGGACGGCGTGGAGCAGCTTTCAGCCTGATCTTTGAAGAGATTGGGAAGGACAGAAGGGATGCCAGGGCTGAAGGTTTAGGGGTTCAGCTTAAGGGTTTTGGGGGGTTTGCGGGTTTAGGGTTTAAGTTTAAGCCTTGAGGGTTTGGAGCAAAGACTTTGTTGCCTTGAGTTCATGTATCGCGCCTAGTCTCCGCCTTGGGATTTTGTCAGGACATGGGATTGAGGGTTTAGGGTTTAGTGCATGGGTGGAGGTTAGGCTAATGGCTGAAGGGTTTGGGCAGGGGCTTCAGGAGGATACGTTTAGAGATTGATTTTGGCTGGTAGACTGCAGAGAACTGTGGGGATTGGGGTCATGTGCGAGAACTGGAAAACCCGCAAAAACCATCAGCAAGAACGGAAATGTCGAATAGTACTTAGTAGGATTGGGGGGTTCGGAGTAGTCTTCTGAGGCTTGACCCTTTTGAATCTGGTGCTTAAATATAATAGTTTCCATTTTCTTTTCCATTTTCCCCTATGTAACCCCTATAGAACCCCCATATAAAGCCCTATAGAATCCTATATAACGCCCTATTAAGCCCCTATATATACCCCAATATAACCGTTCAGGCTGCAGGGTTCAGGGTTTCGGCTGCAAGGGTAGGGCTTGGGTTCCCCTAGGATAGGATCCTGCAATCTCCGCACAATCCCCCTACATCCTCAGGATGCCGAAGAACCCATACCTTGGGAGACCCATATGAAGGCCTCCCAAAATAGGAGACCATCAGGAACCCTAGGGATCTATACGGGGATTAGAAGAGGGTCGTGGGTTTAGGGTTTAGATTTAGAGTTTAGGGTTAAGGGTTTATCCTTGTTTCTGAGAAATTCCCACATCCAAGGGAAGGCATGAGATCAACCCTAAACCCTAAACCCTTAACCCTTAAACCCTAAACCCAGTCCAAGCCTGGCTCCAGCAGTGGCCAGGAGGGCCTCTGGAAAAGCCCACGGTAGGGTGGGGGCTCATATTAGAGTTATATAGGGGATAATGGAAAAGAGTTTGGAAATTAGTATTTAGTGAAATTTAGTGTTTAGGGTTTCCCAAAATTAGGATTTGGGGTAAAGGTTTTGGGTTTTACGGTTTTGGGGGCGGGGCTTAGGGTAGGAGTCCGCGGTTGGGGCTTAGGATTGTGATTGGATCCCATTAAAGATCTCAAATCATCACACGGATCCTCATGCCGTGAGGGCAACAAAACCCTACATTGGACTAGGGTCTTGGGCTCACGGTCAGCACAGGTTCCGTTTCATATTCCATCTTCTTTCCATTGGATACTCCATCATTGGGACAATATCCCTAAACCCTAAACCCTAAATAGTAGTTTCCGTGTTCTTTGCCATTACCTCTATATCCCCTTCAGCATACGGTCTCTTCATCAATTTCAAGAATCACTCGGAGAGAAGTTAAGTCAAGCAATCCGCGCTATATACTTATACATAACTATATGTATCTATCTATCTTTCTATCTATCTACCGATCGATCTACCTACCTTTTATTCGTTCGGTTGTTTATATTATATATCGAGCGAGGAAAGGATGTTCCATAGATCTGTCTTTGTCTAGCAGATAACGTGGTACAGTGCTTGCAAGATAGTGCGAACTTGCCGCAATCTTGTGGTGCGTATACGAAACAGATGTCTCGCTTGATCAGCTTTCTTGTTCGAAGCTTTCAATGAACCTTCAAGCTCGTTCGCAAGGGTGCAGGGGCTGGAAGGTTCAGAAGCTGGCGGATGCAAGAGGCCGATCAGATGGACTTGATTAGAAGCATCTGCTGATCGCTGTCAGAACTCCACATCTTTCAGGGACCGCGCCCTTTCCCTGGAGGGTCCCATGCAAACACTTTTTCCCTGCTGCCCGGAACTGCTTCCTCAGGAGGCCAGTCACAGCAGCTAGAATCTAGAACCCACGTCGCAGTTGATGCGAGCCCAACAAGTTCTCATAAACGGAGAGTTCTGGATCCTCGGCTGGAGGCGGCTCTTGTGGAGGATCTTCGTTCCTGCTGGGCGTGGGCGTCTCTTTGGGCTCCGACCCACACCGCTGGTCCAAAGACGGTGCCACATCCGAGGGGGGCGCCGGGTCCGAGCGAGGCGTGGACCGCGGCGTGCCCGTGCTCGGGAGTTGCGCTTTGATTGAAACCATTTTCCTGGAAACCTCTTGCAGGTCGTACATCACGGCTTCGGCTTCCTCAGTAATGTTGCTGGCCTCTTTCCAGGCCATCATGTGGTGTCTATCTACTTTTCGGTTGGAGATGGCTCCAACCTCAGATGCATTCTCACGGCTTGAACTCAGCATGGCGACCGAAACAATACTGCATGACTTCCAGACGCCTCACTTGAACGCTTTGGTCACTCAGCAGCCTGGACCCGAAGAATAATGGGAGGCTCCCAAAGAGCAAAGCCAAACAAAGTTTCAGTCCCAAAGCGACCACGCAGTCTTGAAAAATTCCGAGGGGCCTTCACCGACTTTTCATCATTTCCGCGCTGGAGACGAAGTTTCCAATCAAATTCACGCTTTTTCGACGGCCGCCTCTCCTGACAATGGGAAACAGTGAAACTTACATGTTGATTATCTGCTGCAGTTTTCGAAAAGGTACTACACGCAGAAACCATCCGGAGCCTTGAAGCTATTCGGGAACTCTATGACTGCCACAGCAGAATACGAACCCGCTTTAGCTTCCAAAAGTGGCACATAAATTCTACCTTCAAAACATGGGGAGCTGCGATACGGGAGCTGTCAAACAAATCTGGCTTCTGAATTCGCAACAGGCTTCTAGAGAAAGTTCTTTGAAGAGGTCAATAGGGGAGTTCCGGTTTCACGGAACTACCCCTGATATCGAGGCAACAGAACATACGCCTAAGCTTCAGTCTGTTAGAGTAAGTACAAGTACCAGGATCACGGAATCATGTCATTCCAGCAAGACCCAACATATCTTCCATCCACTGTGGAAAACAGAGGAAGGCGGCAATGCTACTTGCATCTTCAAAACCGCGTGTCCTTCTTCAGCAGGTATGGATCGGTCTTCTCGATGTCCAAGATCTGGTGGTGAGATTGAGTCTGTAATCCCTCTTTGAATGTTGCTGTTTCTGCATGCAACAACTGATGCAGGGGTGTAAAGTGCTTCAGGTTGTAGTTCCCAGGAACCACACGATCTCCCTGCAGAATGACGTTCTTTTCCGTCCTAGTCGTGGAATCCTCGCTAAAAGCACTTGCCAAAAGACTCTAGGACGGGGTGCCAGGCTTGGGCTCAATAGTTGCTTACAAGCGTTGAAAAAGCTTTGCCAGACCCAACATCGTATTCATACCTTGCACTTGTTCAAATCAACCGGGTCAGGGACCTGCGCAAGGACCCAGGTGTTTTCGGTGGCTCGGACCAGCACAAAGGCACTGCCGAGGCGGTTGTCCTGGCGGCAAAAGTCCAACATCTCTTCCCCCTCAATACTGAAGATTCCCTGTTCATGTACACTGGCTCTGTCAAGAAGATGTGATATCACGGAGAACCGGGTTCCTTGCACTTCATGCACTAGGTGAGAGTGTACTTTGGGTCCGGCTTGAGGCGCGGTGCCTGGAGTTTATGGGATATGTTGGGAAGCCAGGCTTTTTGAGTTCAGCAGCTTTGGGATTGCAAAGACACGCACTATGGCAAGGGAACCTGCTCCGATGTTTCAGTGGTCTTGATGACAGAGCGGTGTCCTGGTAAGCTAGCTTGAGGGACAGCTTAACCAAAAGTCTGTCCCCCCCTTCCTCAGCGAGATAAAGAACTGAAACAGATTTCATCTCCCACACCCTCACTCAGCTAAAAATGAGCTGAAACCCTACACAAAGGGGCCGACCTGAGGAGGGAAGGAGAAGCGCTCGGCCAGCGCCAGCAGCTGACGGCGCGTCAGCTGCGACTCACCTTAGCTCGCTGCGTGCTGTTGCCTTACGGGCCTATGCAGGAGCAGGAGGTGCGCATGGACCTGAATGGTTGGGCGCTGCGTTTGAACAATTGCTACCCCGTATATGCCCATGGCAAGATTTCCATGGAAAAACAAATGGAAACTAGTCACACTCTCCTCCTGCTCCTTAAACGAAGTAGCCACAATGTAGAAAACCCTGCTCTCTTCTGGGGCCCAACAAGGAACACAACCCTCCACGTACACGCAGCAGAGCAGCTCATGCAGACCAGCAATTGCTTGTCTTGTTCGTTGAGGGTCTCAGCGACGAGGCTAAGGCTCTGGTGATACAGGTTGACAGGTTGAGAGGTGGCAATGGAGTAAGCAACCTCCTAAGGTCCTCGATGTGAGAAATGAATTTTCAACCTGGATTGGGTCTCCTGGTAGGAGTTCTGGTGCTGGTTCTATTATCCGAAAGAGGCCAAAACATCACACTCCTACTCCAAGCCCTATATAATATGGCAGCTTCCATGTTAATATCCATTCTCCCAATACAACCCCAATATATCCCCTATATCATCCCCTTATAACCCTTAGCAGCTTCCAAACATAAACTGTAGACATAACCCTGATATAACCCAAATATTACCCCATAATATCCCCACATAACCCCATTAGAACTGTAGACATATCCACTATATAATCCCTATATAGCCCTTAGTAGCTTCCATGTTCTTTTCCATTATCCCCTATACAACCCTAATATTTCTAAACCCTTACCCTAAACCCTAAACCCTAAATCTCAAATAGTGATTTCCATGTTCTTTTCCATTATCCCCTATATAACGCACTGTTCAGGATCAGTTTCCCCAGGCGACCGGGGCACTTCCGTGGCACTGTGACAGGAGCTGCTGTCGGAGCTCGAGCTTGCTTTGGACGATCCTGCACAGTGAGTTATATGGGGGTATGTAGTATATTGTAGTATATTTGAGTAGGTTATAGTAGATTATAACTATCATAGGGAGAATGGGCAAGAAAATTGAAGTTACTATTTAGGATTTTGGGCTTAGGGTTTAGGAGTTGGGATTCAGGGTTTAGGGTTTAATAATATTAGGGGAACATTGGGATATTGGAAAATCAAAAGGAAACTTCTAAGGGTTATATAGGGCTATATTGGGATTGTATTGGAATGATATAAGGGATATTGGAATAATAGGGATAATGGAAAGGAACATGGAAATTACTATTTGGGATTTAGGGTTTAGGGTTTAGTAATATGAGGGTTATATAGGGGATAATGGAAAAGAAAATGGAAGCTACTAATGGCTACATAGGGATTATATAGGGGTTATATAGGGAGTAAATAGAGGCTGCATGATAGGGGATAATGGAAAAGAAAATGAAAACTACAATAGTATTTCGGGCATTTAGGATGTCAGGGGTCCAGGGCCCCCAAGCCAACCTCAGCAAAGTGAATCTCATACAGCTACAAAGGAATCCGCAGGATTCATTCATCATGATCACAAGCCATGAAGAGGAGGCTTGCGAAGCCAAGAATTCAGCGTCAAGGACTTGGGCGTGATGCTTCAAGCTCCTCTCCACTCTAAATCTATGTTTGGGATTTCAGGTTTCTGTTTTGAAGGGTTCAGGATGGGAGCTAAAGGTTTGGAACAGAAGTTAAAAGTTCATGGTTGGAGGTTTAAAGCTCAAATATTTATGGCTTTGCCAGATAAGGGGCTTGATGACGACTACAAACTTTTTGCTTAGGTTCTGCCATGGGCATGCAAAAGCCACGCAGGGTCAGAGGCAATCTCGCAATATCTACACAGTGCCATAGTGGTTCTTGGTAGGTAACTGCTATGTTTTGAAAAATTCACGTTTCCTTGAGAAGCCCTATACAGATGTTCTCCAGAACACCCCTGAGTTTCAAGAGCAAACACTAAGACCGCTTTGACATTCCTCCCTTTTTAACCCTACCGCCCCTCAACCAAAACCTCAAGCCCCAAACCCCAAACCTCTAAACCACCTCAACCCCATTTTTATCCCTACACATCCCACTCTACCCATTATATAGGTTCACCCCCGATATACTATACTAGTTTCCATTGTCTTTTCCAGTATCCCCTATATGATATACATATATATATATGTATATATACCTTACATAATCCCTATATAACACTATATATCACCCTTAGCGGTATGCATTTTTCCATTATCCCCTAAATCACCCCCAAAATGCTCTAGTACCAGAAAAGAGCCCTTTTGAGTAGGGTTTTTTTGGTGGTTAAACCTAGTAAGATTATACCCCAAAAGGAGGATATAATCTTACTCTACGTTGGGTACCATAGTATCCCCAAATAAGATACTACACAAACAACGCCTATATAATCACAGTTTCTATTTCATTTTCCATTTTCTTTTCCATTTGATTCTCCATTATAGGGCCCTAAATCCCTGTGTTATTAGGTACCATAGTATCCCCAAATAAGATACTACACAAACAACGCCTATATAATCACAGTTT